AAGTTGACCGAATATGAGGGCTTTTTAATTGTCATGTTTACGTTGTCATACTTTGAGCCCCGTTTCTTTTGTGTGTACCTGACAGTAGGTTATGAAGGGCCAGCTCCACGGTGGCCTTTCTGGAGGGTTCTGGAATGTTCCTCAAGACCCTCATGAAAGGTCATGGTATCTGGCAATTAAGTCCAGCCTGGCCTTACGTACCCTTGGTTTATCTGAGTTTAGGAGCAGAACTAGTAAAACTTAGTGAGAGGTTGAAATGTCCCCAGCCCCCTTTCCATTGCTGCTGGTCTGACCTGCTCTACCAGCTCCAAGTATAAACACGATGATGTCACTTTTCCTTTCCACTCAGGCCCCCACTTGCTTTCGTATCATTAAGTCCAATATCTTCCTCCTGAGGCTTCACGTCCCCAGCTCCAGTCAGCAGCTGTCCGGAGGCCTGGCCTTTCTCAGCCCAGTGAGCTCAGTCCCCCATCAGTCCCCGTCGCTGTTGCCCACGCAGCTCATGATGACACTGTTGAAGAGGGAGGGGCCTGCACAGTCTCAGGGTCCCAGGGTGCAGCTTTTCAGGTCACATTGGTTCCCCATGTTGGGTCACCCTCCCATGCTCAGCCGTCACTCTCCGAGGCACAGCCACTGGGCCAGCCTGTGCTGAAACCTTCTGACCCGCATCGAGCCGGATCCTCAGCCTGGATCTCTGGTGCTTGTGGCCCGCTGGGTCTGCCCTTTGGGGAGTGAGAGTTAGATCTCTGGTTTCTTCCTTCCCGGAAAGCCCGGGCTCCTTGTTCAAACTGGACCCCTCCTCTCCAGCCAGATGTGCACGTCACTTAACCAGGAGCGTGCTTTCAGGGGACTTTTTCTCTGAACAGAGTCAGGCTGCTGGACCACCTCAGGCACCTTATTGACTAAAAGTCACCCTGTTAGACTCAGTTTCCATGGAACTCGATGAAAGCGTAGGCATTGTGAGTATAGGTTTGATGTTAGACCCAGGCTTGATCCCAAGCCTGTGACCTTGAGCAGTTACCTGTGTGAGCCTCGGTTTCCCCATCTGTCAAATGGGAATGATGGAAACACCTGCATTATAAATGCAACAATACGAAAATATTGTGTGCCGTGCCTGGCATATTCTAAGTACTCAATAAATATTTATTATTACTGCTGTTCTGTTACAGGAATAGCGATGATGATGGTGATCACAGTAATACAATTGCTAATAAACAAATCTAAGAAAGCTGATCGCATGGCCTTTGCTTTTGCGTTTGCCAGAAGCTCCCACAGTCCTTCAGTTTTGGACCATGGAGCCCATTAGGAAGACTTCACTTTGGGTGGAGCCACTGAGCATGTCTTCAGTTCCACACTCCAGCCCCGTCTCTGTCTGACTCCGCTGGAGGGTTGCTTTCTGCTTTCATCCCAACATCAGCCACCTGGCGGAGCTGAACTAAATTCATTCCCTTCACCCCCTCCCTCCACAGAGCCACGTTGAGTTCCACTGATCTCGGCAAATGAGCTCTGAAAACTGGTCAAAGTCCCATTTTTCCACTTTTGAAAGTGTCAGTGAACAGTGGCGGGGGCAGATCAGTGACACCAGAAGTAGCGCTGGGCCTCAAGTCTGGCCCCTGCGGGCGCATCAGCAGTTGCCCCGGGGGGGTGAGGTGGGGGGGCGGCCATCTCTCCAGGCTCTCCGAGCGGAGTCTCTGGCTGCCCCCCACCCTGGTGAGAACTGGATCCCAGCTGGAGTACAAATGAGAATGGGCCCTCTCCCTTCTCTCTGATCTTGGCCAGCAACCCCCTGCTTCATAGGCAGGGCAAGTGCATGCTTTGTGAAGAGTTGGGACAGAGATTTGGGGAAAGGCAGGTACCCCTGGAGGGAGTCACTTCCCTCACTCCCTATCTCCCTGTTTCATGGGTCGGCACCAGGCATGGAGGGGTCGGTGCAGGGCTGCTGATCAGCTCAGTAGCTGGAGGAAGGAAAGAAAGCAGATGGAGAATGTCGAGCTCTGACCTCTCGAGTGCCTGGTTTCCTTCTTGCCTTTGGTTTCTGCCAGCACTTTAGTCTCACGGCGAGCCTCTGCCCGAGCAGGTGGCAAACAGTGCCTCCCTTGTTCACGGGAGGTGTCACGTTGGGATCCCGATCAGCACTCATCAGACTGAAGGGCTGAGATTAAGAGGCCGTCCAAGTCCAAATACCAGTGGGCACAGGATGTTCTGCCTCATATCATGGAGCAGCTGTGATTCAGGAACCGGAGCAACATTTTTTTTATTTGGTCCCATTTCAAATGAAGCTAAAATTTGTGGAAATAGAAACTTGGAAACCTCCTAAATGTCTAGACTCAAGGAATCGGGTCAATAAATTATTGTAAATATCACAGTGGATGTGAGAAATGTATTGAAAATGCTGATATTGGCCCGAATTTACTGGCAGGGAGCAATGTTCATAATATAATTTTAAGTAAGGAAAAAACATTGGCAAAGACTATGTACAGCCTATTCCAGTGTTGTTTCAAAAACATATGTCGAGCCCTGGCCGGTGTGGCTCAGCTGGTTGAGCGTCATCCCAGGCGCCGAGAGGTTGCAGGTTCGATTCCCCGTCAGGGCACATGCCCAGGTTTCGGGCTCCATCCCCAGTGGGGAGTGCGCAGGAGGCAGCTGAGCCATGTTCCACTTGCACAGCGATGTTTCTCTTTTTCTCTCCCTTCCTCTCCCTAAAAATCAAGCTATTTTTTTAAAAAGAGGAAAATATGAACACTTTAATTCTGAGCGATGATGCAGATATTAAGGTGTCTCCCTTGTGAGAATTTCCCACCTATTGCTTCCTTTTGGTCTTTATGCCCAGGCTGATGGGCCTGGAAGTTTGGAGAACGGGGCAGCAGGTGACCGACCTCATTTCCCTCCCAAGACCCAGGTGGCTCCTGTCCCCTACCTCAGCGGCCTGGAGGCAGGGGAACCAGGGGCCTGCCCTTGTATGCAGATCCTCAGGGTACCAAGTTCTGACCTTGGCTGCACCTTAGAATTGCCAATGAAGCTTTAACAATGGTTGATGCCTGGGTCCACTCCTAGAGATTCTGATCGAATGGGTCTGGGGTGCACCCTTGGCATTGGGAGTTTCAAAAGCTCCCCAAGGGATTCTAATGTGTGGCCAAGGCTGAGAACCATGCCCTAGAACACCTGACCCACCTCACCCCATCCCCTTCACCCACAGTCCAAGGAGACAGCCTGTACCTAAGCGACGCAGTGTGGACTAAGCTCTTGAGAGCGCTCGAGGTTCTCAGTGGCACCCTGGGGAAAGGAGTTCTCGGAGGGGCCTGGCCAGTTTCTGACTCCCTTTCCCCTTTTATTCAGTATGGAATCGTCCTCGATGCCGGGTCTTCCAGAACCACAGTCTACGTGTACCAGTGGCCAGCAGAGAAAGAAAATGATACCGGGGTGGTCACCCAGACTTGCAAATGCAGTGTGAGAGGTGAGGCCAGCGTGCGTCTGGGGGCGCCCAGGGAAGCAAGGCGGGGTCCCATGCCCTTCGAGGCCTGGAGGGGTCCTGAGAAGCTGCCTGGACTGGGTGTCAGGAAAATATGAGATCTTATGCTACCGTGCTGAGAGGAAGGGAGAAGAAACATCGATGTGAGAGCACAGCGTTGATTGGCTGCCCCCTGCAGTAACAGTGACCTTGGGTCAGTCACCACCCTTCTCTGGGCCACAGTTTTCTCATCTGTAAAACACGTAGGGGTGTGGGGGGCATGTCAAGAACTGTGAATGGGCTGAGATTTTACCCTGCCGTTCTTCCATGGATGCTGGTGGGAGACACAAGATTGCTGGGTCAGAAACAAAGGACAGTTTATTCTTCACAGCAGCAGCAGTAGCCGGTGTCAGCTGGCTTTCTTATGCTGGTTCTCTGAGGGTGATGTAAAGAGAGCCAGACAGTATCTGCTCACACAGTGGGTTGTCTTACAGTAGAGAAACCTGAGATTAGTGAATCTGAAACATTTATAAAGGGCACTGAGCATGCCTGTCTTTTGCTCTGGGGTGCAACCTATCGCTGTCTTCTGAGCCTGTTCACTGTGCAAACATCCTTGAAAAAATAATCCAGAACAAAGGCAATCAGTGCCTGTACTCATAAAACATGCAGAAACACAAGAGACTCACAAGTCTTCCAGGTGTGTGTGGGTCGGGGAGAGATGGGGTGGAGGGAGATCGACAGTACATAACAAATAGGTATGGCTCTGTTCCACAAGAGCTTTATTTATGGACCTTAAAAGTTTGAATTTCATATAATTCTCACATGTCACAAGATACTATTTATTCTTCTTTTAATTCCTCTGCTCACCGTTTTAAAAGGTAAAAACTGCCCTAGCCGGTGTGGCTCAGTTGGGTGAGCATCATCTCCTGCACTGAGACGCCGCTGGTTCGATTCCCGGCAGGGCACATGCTGGGGCTGCAGGCTCCATCCCCAGTAGGGGGCTTGCGGGAGGCAGCCGATCAACACTGTGCTCTCGCATCGATGTTTCTCTCTTCTCCCTTCCTCTCTCTCTAAAATCAATAAACTATTCTTTAAAAAAAAGAAAAGGAAAACCGCCTGCTGAAGGAGGGTTTGACAGAGGAGATGAAGTGCAGCGCAGGCCTGGCAAAGCTTCAGCCAGCCAGTTACCCTGCATTGGGTTGCAGTGGCCTGAAATGGCTGCGTTGCCAAACCCTGTCACCTCCAGTCATCGGATGTTGCTGTCCTGGAAAGAGCGAGACGCTGAGCAAGGCAGGTCGCTGTAGCTGAGGCAAACCCCGAGGTGGCTGGCGGCTGGGACAGTCAGTCTTTATTTGAAGGGCGTCTGCATGGCCCCGCTCTGCGCTCGTCCCAACGAGGAAGCTGGATGTCCTCAGGGTACTGCTTGTCCACACGACACGCAGCAGTAGCCTTGCTCTGGCCTTACCCGGACGATCCATTCTGTTCTCCTAACAGCTGAGCTATTCCTCACCTCCAGGCACGAAAGGGCACCAGGACGCCTGCTCAGGAAAGAGACCACCCATTTCAAGGAGAGAGGATAGCGGAAGATCATGGTTAAGACTTCACCTCACCCCTACCGTGTGAGCTCCGGAGTTAGCTAACCTCTCCGAGTCCCTCATCTCTGAGATACAAAGCATAGTAATAGTAAGGCCTCCCCCCTAGGAAGGATTTGAAGGTTAAATGACATGATATATGTAAAGCGGGTAGCAACCCCTGGCATACAGTAAGCACTCAATAAGGGTCAGCTGTTATTGTTCACAGGCACCACACTTTAGAGCTCCTGGTAGGTCTTCTTTCCAGAAGGTTCCTCTGTCCTGTAGTTACATGATCTATTCAGACACAGAAAAGTAGTTTAGCCAACTGATGTCCCTCTGACTTGTAGGGAGACTCGAGACTTTCACGGGAAGGAGCATGGGCGGTCTCTCAGGGGTCGGGACCCTTGGCCCACCCAGGATGGGTTTTGGGGGGGAGGGTCAGGGAGCCCGCACCGCACCCATAAATGGATCTTCCCTCCTTTGATCAGAGTAGCCTCAGTGATCCATATATACCCGGAATGACCGGGGGACCACAAGCGAAAGCTTAATTACAGAGCTGAAGTTTGACTAAGTGTCACCCCCTCGAGGACATGTGGCTTCTCCAAGGATAATTTGGGTTTCTGGTTTCTCAATTGCACATTTCCCTGGGACTCCCCCGTCTTAGCCAATCCCAATGGGTGGTGAGTGCTTGCTTGCTCAGCTGTGTTTCCTGAATGTGTAGGCCCTCAGAAATTTATTTCTCAGGGGCTCCCTGGTGGGTATCGGCCCTCTGCTGCTGCTCTTTTCCGGGAGTTCACTGGGTACTGGTCCCCATGCCGGTGTCTGGAGCCCTGGCTGCTGCTTGGAGAGCCGTTTTCTGGAGGACACTGGCTCCTTGACGCCCCTCTGCTGTTTTGCAGTGTGTGGTGCTCATGCCTGCTGCCTTCTTCCACAAGGGACAGTCATGATTTCCCTTTACACCAGCGCTTAAAAGCTCTTTAAACTCCCCTGGAGCCATCTCCTCTACGGAAATCCTTCAAGTTGCTCCAGGGACCAGGCCACTACAGTGCTGACAGCACCTCTGCTCAGGCACATGCCTTACGCCGCTGTCCCACCTTGCGTGAGCTTTATGTTGTCTGTCCAGCCGTCTGTCCCCAGATTGGAACAGCAGCTTTAACTCTGTTCTTGGGGTTGAGAACCCGGGTATCCCATGAGTCTATGAGCCCAGTCTTTCCCCTCTAGGAGGCTTAAGGGGTCTTATGCTAATAGGCCCTCTGGTGACCTGCTCAGATGCTCCAAGTGTTGACGACACTCTAGCAAGGCTCCTACCCAGTCCCCGTCCGGAGACCAGCTCCAGCAGAATAGAGTTTGCTTGCTCCGGCTGGGACCACACGACCCCCTTCCTGTAGAGTCGCATGCTGGTTGGAAAATCTCAGTCAGTCAGTCAGTCATTCAGTCAGTCAGTCAGTCTTATGTCTAATAAGTGTTTATTGGGTGCCTGCTATTTGCCAGTAACATTTCTTGAGACTGGGAATTCTGTATAAACAAAATATACAGTGTCTGCTGTCACGGAACGTACATGCTAGTGAAGGAGACAGCTAATACACAAACAGATGTCTAATATGTCAGGGAGAAGTTCTGTGAAGAGAAACCAAGCCAGTCGGTGGACTGAGAGCAGTCATGCTCTTTTAGACATGATCTCCGGGGAAGAGCAAAGAGATGGTTAGGCAGAGACAACAGTGAGATGAGAGGGTGAGTCGTGCAAATTTTTGAGGGAAGAACAAGCTGAGCAGAGGGCACAGCAAGAGAAAAGGCCAAGGGTGGGAGCTGCCCGGCATTCTCTAGGGAAAAGCAAAGGGGCCAGTTGGCTGGAGCGGAATGAGGCGGCGGCCAGAGGAGAAATGAGCCCAGCGCCGTGGCCAGGCAGCTCCTGGGGGCCTCAGATGCGGCAGGGCTTGGGCTTTCACTCGGGTGAATTTTCTAGAGTATATTGGGAAGCCACTAGGACATTCTGCTCCGGGAACTGACGTGCTGTGACTCATCATTTTCACGGATCCCTCTGTTGATGTAGAACACGGGCTAATGCAGTGACAGGCTAAGATTAGACGCAGGGAAACCAGGGCTATTAGGATGGTGCAGGTGACAGACGATGTTATGACGGTCTGGCCTGGACAGGTGCTTCTCCACATGGGGCAATTTTGCCCCCACCCCCAGGGAGCATCTGGTAATGTCTGGGGACCTCGTGGATTGTCCCACCTGGGGTTGGGGGAGCTGCTGGCACCTCGTGGTAGGAGAGAGAAATGCAGCTAAACATCGCCCAAGGGCCAGGGCGGCCTCACACACAGTTACCTGGCCCCAAATGTCAGCAGTGCTGAGACTGGGAAAATGGTCTGGAACGGTTCTAGGGGACAGGCTGAGAAGTGCTCAGACTGGAGGGGTATTTGGAAGGGAGAGCCAACAAGACTTAATGATGAATTCAGTGTGAGGCATCCAGGTTGATGGTGCCTGAGCGTCAGTTCTGATGCGTATATTTGCAGGTGACAGTACCATTTCCTGAGAGCGGGAGCCCTGGAGTGTAGTCTGCTGGGGACATGGCAGGGATTAGTGAATTTGGTTTTGGACATAGTAATTTCCAGGTGCCTATAAACCTAGGTCAGGGCTGGGAAACATTTTCTGTAAAGAGCTGGATGATCAATATTTTGTATTTGTTGACCTCATGGTCTCTGACATAACTATTTAACTCTGCCACATGAGCATGAAAGCAGCTATAGCCAAAAGGTAGACAAAGAATGTATTTCAAAAAAGTTTTCTTTCTGGACCCTGTACATGCCTAATGGGATATGCCCTAAGGACAGAAAGAACTTTAAAAAAATCTTAAAACTGTTTTTACTAATCATACAGTTGGTGGTAGTGCCGGTATTGTCATACTGAGATTGTGGATTGTGAAATAAAGCAGATGAGTTATTAGGTTGGAGAGCTAGAAAACAGGACTTGAAGCATAGAAAAAAAGCAGCTAAAGATAGAAGATCAAAGAATTTCAGTAAAAACCTATAGTTTTGAATTAGAAGCACTAATAAGAATGCATGACATATTTTTCTCTTGAAATAAAGTTTTCCTTAGATCTGTCCTCTGAAGAAACTTACAGTGAGCACCGTAGCTTCTAGACTTTGGGTGCTAAATACCATTACTTAATAAAAGAAAGCAAGGCTCCTTAGAGAAATGGCTGAGTCCAGATCAGGGGCAGGAAGTGTATAAGGCCATTGGTACATCTTATCATATCAGAAAGCAAAGAAAATGTCAGTGGACTCAGGGGCCACCTGAAGACAGTGCAATAAGAATATAACTGCAATTAATTGAAACACATCAAATATGCATATCTTTAAATTTATGTGTTCTTAAGATACAAAACAAACAAGCAAAATCTCTCTTTGGTTAAGTTAGAAAAATATTGGAGGTGCAATCTATATTTTTTAAGCTGGTAAATAAAGGGACAGAATCAAGCACTTAGCCTGCCTTCCCTGGACAAACTGTAATGTAGGATAACCAAACAGTTAATGATGGGGAAGCTCTTCTCTGATTACAGCATTGTAGGTAGAAAGCAAGCATGGTGGAAATAAAATATCACCGTGTTATAGGCCCTAATGGACCAATGGATCTCAGCAATGATCATTGATGTCTGTGCTAAAAGAGGAACAACTCATGCCTTTTATTGGAAGGATGCACTAATCCCTACGAATTATTGTCTCTGAAACAGTTCGAACCTGAACCTGATTAAACCTCAGCATTCAGTTACCAATTTCTAGGAAAAACTGGGACCAAATAACATGTTAAATGAACCATGGGAATTCAATTAGCAACTTCTAGGCTGTGGGGAACTCTACAGGCCAAATTAAATCGGGAGGAAAAAAATTTTTGAATTACAAGGCAAAAATAGAAAGAGAGGGCACACAGCCTATCAATTAAAAGAGACTTAAGAAATATACTAACCAGCGTGGCCGGTGTGGCTCAGCGGTTGAACACCGACAGGTGAGTCAGGAGATCTCGGTTCAATTCCAGGTCAGGGCACATGCCCACCGGGCTCGATCCCCAGTAGGGGGGTGCAGGAAGCAGCCGATCAATGACTCTCATCATTGATGTTTCTCTCTCTCTCCCCCTCTCTCCCTTCCTCTCTCTGAAATCAATAAAGACATATTTTTTCCAAAATGGTATTTAAAAAAAAGAGATATACTAACCAAGTGCAATGGACAGAATTTATTTGGACTCTAATCCAAATAAACTAACCAGAGAGAGAGAGAGAGAGAGGAATGGGAGCAGGGGAGGGAGAGAAAATGATGACCAAGGAGGAAATGTGAACCTTAACTAGATATCTGACTAAAGGGCCATTTTAGATTCTTACAGGTGTAATAATGGGATGGTAGTTATGCTTCTTTGAAAGAACTCTTGTCTTTTAGTAACACACACTGAAGTATTTATAGAGTAAGAGGATACCACGTCTGCAGCCTGCTTCTGAGGAGAGAATGGGGGAGAGTGCACATGAAGAGAGGTGATCATTGTTGAAGCGGGGAGATGGGTGCATGGGTGCATTACATTATGTGCCCTACTTTTATTTATATTTGAAATTCCCAAAATGAGAACTTTGTAAAAGAGCATTTATTAAAGCAGCATGCTATTGGCATAAGGATAGACTGAGGCTCTCCAAAAGGTGAGGCCTGGGTATTTTTCTAAAATTAAATTTATTGAGGTAACACTGGTTAATAACATTATATAAATTTCTGGTGTAAACAATATAATTCAACATCTGTGTACTCTATTGCATGCTTACCACCCAAAGTCTAGTTTCCTTTCACCGCCATATATTTGACCCCTTTACCAACTCCAGAACTTTTTTTAAGCAGGTTAATTTTCACACTGGCTCTTTTTTTTTTCACCTTTGTAATTCCTTCCTTCTGTATTTTGGGAGTGGACTCATCAGTGTGACCACATGGGACCGAGTACCCGACGCCCTCCTAAAGCCTATTCATTTCCGGAGCTGATCAGTTTTTATTTGAAAGCTGTACTGCTCCTGTGGGTTCCCAGGGATGCTAAGAAGTGCTGACTGCCTGCTCTTTAGGCTCTGGGATCTCCAGCTATGGGAGAAACCCCCAGGATGTCCCCAAAGCCTTCGAGGATTGTATGCAACAAGTCAAGGAGCAGATTCCCGCCCACCAGCACGGATCCACGCACATTTACCTGGGCGCCACGGCGGGGATGCGCTTGCTGAGGTAAGGACAGGAAGGGCACGCAGCAGCCCTTTCACCAAAATAGCCAAGAATGTGTTGGACCTTGCCAAGAACGTAACTATTTCTGGGAACAAATCTGAAAGAAAGACCATATTCTGCCATAAATGTAGGCTTTAAAAGTTGGGAAACTTTTCTTCTTTATTTAATTTTTTAAAAATGTTTTTATTGATTTCAGAGAGAGGAAGGGAGGGAGAGAGAGAGATGGAAGCATCAATGATGAGAGAGTCATTGATGGGCTGCCTCCTGCACGCCCCCAACTGGGGATGGAGCCCGCAACCTGGGCATGTGCCCTGACCGGGAATTGAACCCCGATCTCCTGGATCCTAGGGCGATGCTCAACTGCTGGGCCATGCCGGCCGGCATTTTTCTCTTTATATTAATACCCAGAAGGAAACAGTTTCAGAATCAATTCCCTTGCCCTCGGCAATTCTAATGAGAGCTCTGAGAAAGAGGAAGGGGACTCGAAATCTGCTCACGGGGGTTTATTGACACCTGGTTGTTTTAACACCTGTGGACAACCAGCTCCACTAAGGGCCACCCAGAGCTATGTATCTTGTGCCCATGTCTAAAACATCACTGAAATCGTCTTTGAAATCATGGGATTTCTGCACCTCACCTCACCCTTGTCAAAGTGTTGGGACGTCTCATTTCACTCAAGCAGCTCCTAGATTTTGTAGTCATGACTTAGCCCAGTTGCACTGTTTCTGAATGCCTTTTATCTTCATTTTTTCATCATTTCTTTGACTTTGAAATAAAAGAAAAATAGTTTTAAAGAAACACATCAAACTTAAATCTATATAGGGTAGAGCAGCTGATTGATGTTACGCTCTCACATCAATGTCTCTTTCTCTCCCTCTCCCTTCCTCTCTCTGTAAAAATCAATACAGATATTTTTAAAAATATAAGGCTTTATCACCAAAAGATTATGCTCATTCTGCTTCCAGGCCACTTTGCCTGTGACCCCAGTAATGTAAGATACATGTATGGGCATGAAGGAAACACAAAGGAAGGAACGAACAGAGCCCCGTTAGCATGACCATCGAGAGAAATCACGACGTGCTCTTAGTTGGATTGGGCCTTTTTCTTCAGTTTTCCTACCCTTGTTCCCAGTCCCGTGTCCTGGTTAACCAAGTAGGATATGGAAGAAAGTCAGATTTCTGTGCTCATTCTTGGAATCTGCCATGTTTTTAAAATTACTGGGTTTACCTGAAATAGAAATGATATAGAAATTCCTTCCTTCTGCCTTTTCTTCCTCATGGAAACAAAAGACCCAACTTTGACTTCGTTGCTATTTTCTCCCTGTCGCCTGCATGAGAAACAATTCCAAGTCTCTGTAATTTATAGCCCGTGACAAACACCATGGGATTGAAAGTTCAACGCTTGGGGGAAGAGTGAATGAAGGTCCCATTTGAATAAATTAAATATTAACTCGTCCTCGTAAAGCTTTCTGATGGTGATCCATTTCTTCTGAGCAACTCGCTGACATTTTAATTGCAAGGAAAGTCAAATATTAAAAAAAAAAGAATGAGAATCATCCTGGGTGAGAACTGGTACAACCAGGAAAGCTCTGAATTAGTTTCCGAGCATTGGTCTTTGCCGCTGGCCTGGAACGGATCTGCCTGTAGCGTTGCTCTTTCTTCTGGAGCCAGGAGTGGGCCGTGCCCTGGCTTTCCTAACGCGTGGATGGAAGGGAAAATGCTGTCCCAGGTGAGCTTCCTTCTGGAGGGGGAGATGGCAGAAGGTGAATGAAATGACACCGTGTCGTGGGCGACGTAAGACTGCTATTTGCCATCCCTCCGCGGGGCGGCACATCAATGGATTTCAGTCCAGTGACGCCCATGAGGGTCGTCACATCTCCTGGTGAAGCCCTCCCAAAGAGCAGAGCAACTCAGCCCCCTTCCTTTCTCCGCCTCCTCCTAAGCCCCGCTTCCTTCTGGCCTGGGGAGGGCCCCTTTTTGTGGTGCCCCCAAGAGATGCCTTAGACCACTCCTGTGCCTTCGCCCATCTCCGTTCCCCTGCTGATCCGAGACAGCAGCGAGACAGCAGCGGTGATGGGGTGATGGAGCACGAGACTCCTTCGACTGGCTGGTTGCTGGAGTGGGGCAGGGACAGGTGGGGGAGGAGAGACACGTGGTGATTTTACTGGAATCTGTTTTCCTGCCTGGCAGTTTGACAAGGTAACGAGTGTACCTTGCCATCACTGTTACCCAGGAAGCCTCAGCTTGCAAAAGGGGTTGCCTTGTGTTGCACACGTCGGGGAAACTGTCCCTGAAGCAGCGGGGTGGGGAGGTTTACCTGTTCACCTGAGTGAGGTTATTTTAAGGCTCTGTCGTCTGGGCACTCAGCGTGTGTGTTCTGTGCCTTGCTTAGGTTGCAAAATGAAACAGCAGCTAATGAAGTCCTTGCAAGCATCCAAAACTACTTCAAGTCCCAGCCCTTTGATTTTAGGGGTGCTCAAATCATTTCTGGGCAAGAGGAAGGGATATATGGATGGATTACAGCCAACTATTTAATGGGAAATTTCCTGGAGGTGTGTGAAAACAAATGCATGGTTTTTAATCTTGCTATTTATCCCTTCCCCTGTGGGTGGGAGCTTGAGCAGAGGTGCATGCCAGCAGGGCCATCGGTCCTGTGTCATTCCTATTGTGATGCGTTAGGGAAACACCTATGAGACAGTAGGTAAGAAAAGACATGATAGTTGAAGCAAAACCTTGGCAGGACCAAATGCATGGGGGAGAGGGAATATTGTCACTTTACTAGCTAATAAGATATTGGAGGAGGCGGGGATGGAAATCTAACACTGGGCTATGGATAATTTGAAGGGCAGCTGAAGAATGGCTCTTCTAAGATGTCCCATAGCCATCTGGAATTTACAGAGCCTTCAGGCAGTCTGCTTCCCAGGTCCCTGTGTCCCCAGGTCTCCTTACACGCCAATCTCCACACTCCCCTCTCCTTTGGTGCAGAGGAAAGCTGACTCCAAGAGACAATCACCAGGTTACAGAGGACATAAACTGAGGACACCCATACTGTATCCAGCCCAAGACCTATTCCTCTTCAAATATATTTTAAAATTTTATTCATTGCCAATAGTTAATAGTTTAGAAATTTCACATAAAAATTCATAGTCCCAGCTTCCCCCAACCCCCCCCCCCAACGTTGGAAGTGGTGGTCACGGTGGACTCACATTCCTGCATGGCAACAAGCAACCGGAACATTGTGTGGCACATGCACTCCTGTTTGCCACAGTCCCCACATTCCCTATTGTCTACACCTACCCTATTTAGCTCATTTATGTTGCCTGCTCAGCCCCTGTAAGCATTTGAGTTGACATAAAGGAGAGGTGTGGCCCTGAATGCCTCCCATGTGTCATAGTTCTTAACAGTAAGAGGTGGGTCTTGGGGGGAGAACCCTGGGCAAACAGAAACAGCATCTTTGGCTTTCTTTTCATGCTTTCTTTTCCCACCGTGCAGAAGGATCTATGGCACATGTGGGTGCATCCGAATGGAGTGGAGACCACAGGTGCCCTGGATTTAGGCGGTGCCTCCACCCAAATCTCCTTTGCGGTGGGAGAGAAGGTGGAGCTGAACACCAGTGACATCATGAAGGTGTCCCTGTACGGCTACGTGTACACACTCTACACACGCAGCTTCCAGTGCTACGGCCGGAACGAGGCCGAAAAGAGGTTTCTGGCGATACTCCTTCAGGTACCTGCGCTGAGGGGTGGAGGGGAGGAGAGCAGGTGTTTCCGGGGGATCTTAGCCGAGGGGAGGGGGCCTTGACCACTTCCAGTGTATGTGACTCAGAATTTCAAGGAGCCCTAGCCAATGTTGCTCAGTGGTTAGAGCGTCGCCCCCCCTCCCCCGACTGAAGGGTCCCGGGTTTGGTTCCAGTCAAGGGCAGGTACCTTGGCTGCAGGCTTGATCCCTGGCCCCCAGCCAGGGCGCATGCAGGAGGCCACCAATCGATGTGTCTCTCTCACATCGATGTTTCTCTCTCTCTCTCCCGCTCTCTCTGAAAAGCAATGGAAAGAATATCCTTGGGTGAGGATTTTAAAAAAACAACAAACCCTGAGAATCTCTACATGTATGTCAGATAAACTTAAAAAAAAGAATTCCAGAGCTCCAGATGTTTTGTAAATGAGTCAAGTCCCGGGATCCCTTTATGGACAAACTATTTTAAGCCAGTAGCTAAATAAGCCTGAGCATTTTGAGACTCCCCTGTGTGCAGATAAAATAAAGTGGCCACAAGAGAAATGCTTGCTGACGGGAGAGGGCAGAGCTCTCCCCAGGCTCAGCCTCCTCGCAGATGGGCCTATATTAGGCAGGCTCAATGCCCTTTATATTGTGGGATTTTAGAGCTGTGGATTCCATCCCCTCGTCCAGTAATTCACACAGTAACTGTCCCATGGCCCAGCTGCTACTCCTGCCAACCAAAATGCACAGGGAGCCGGAGCCCCTCTCCCTAGCAAATTCTCCATAACCACCTCTCCTCCCCACTGGCTCACTAAATCTCAGCCAACACACCTCCCTCCAGGGCAGAAGCTCTGGAAAATCCCCTTTTCTCCATCTTTTATTTCAGGCGAAGTGCAATGCTCCTTCCTTCAGCTCTGGCCCTGGCAGGGGGCGGGCGGGGGTCTCCTGGGAGCTTCCACAGAGGAAGGGGCAGGCAAAATCGTCCTTCCCTGGGGTGAGTCGGGGCAGACACTCTAACCTTTTAAAGTTGGCTGGCCCTGAGCACCTGTCTGAGGTCTCCTTCAGGGTTGGAAACACAAGTCTAAAGGTGTGAGTCCAGGACGGGGCAGAGGTGTGAGAGCCTGGCCCCTCCCTGTGCACAGTCAGCTCACGGGGACGGGCCATCTCTCCAATTTGCCTGGTAACCTCTGGATGCCTGAGAGGGTGGCTCTGCCCTCGGAGCCCTCTGACGCCGGAGAGGGAAAGGATTCAGGTGCGATGCGGATCACCCACAAATGCACGTTCAGACCTGCCTGACCAGCGCTTTCATGGGCCAAATGCACACTGGCGAGCCTGACTCAGGGTTCACGCAGATTATTACATCGAGATCACTGGCTGAGTTGATTCCACCTGTCTGGGTCTTGTTTCCTCTTTGGTAACATAAGGGCCTGCACAGTGGTGAGGACACCTGGATAGATACATACTTGGCAAATTATCCTCTTATTAACCCGTCTCCAGCCACCCTAGGGCTCAGGGCTCACTCTGATAGCATGGTAGACATTAGGGACGTACACTCACTCACTTTCCTTTCTTCAGCAAGATCTTTTTCTTCTGTTTTTAAAGTAATACATGTTCAGTATTTTATTTCGGTCAAGATTATTGTAGGGAAAATAAGACGCTTTGGTCTTATTTAGAGTCCAAATCCTGCTCCTTTGAAAAGAGAGTTCACAAACAGAACCAATTTAGAAATTTAGCATAAGATAAAGGGAACTTTTTCACCAGTACATAAAAGATTAGATAGTCATCTGGAAAAAAATAAAAGTCAGCTTCCTACAAATGGGTGAGAGATTTATACGTGAGGATGTTTATTGCGGTGTTGTTTGTAATGGCAAAATGAGTGGAAGCCACCTAAATTTTCATCTGGAGGAGATTTCTTAAATAAATTGTAGTTTATGTGTATGGTGAAGTTCTGTGCAGCTACTAAAAGGAAGGGGCTTCTCTACAGGTACAATAAATGGAAAGGTAGCAAAGATGGACTTTTAAGGAAGAAAAGCAAGAGGCAGAACAGTGTATAGAGTACTACCATTTATGATTTTTTTTAAAAAAGGGAGGAAAAGAAAATATATTTGTGTATGCACACAAGAAGTACAGACAAAATCTTTGGCAGAATACACGAAAACTGGCAACGGGTCACTTTCAGGGAGGGGAATCAGGTGTGTAAAAATGGGTGGGAGGGAGACTTAATTTCCATAATGTATTTGTCCCTTTTGGATTATTTTATTAGGTGGATAGATAATACTCCATTCAAAATGGTCGGTTAATCTAAACATATCTTGTTTTCTCATCAAAATGGAGTTTATAAAACCTGCCTCACAGGGCTGTTGTAAGGGCTGGATCAGGTCATGGGAGGGGGAGCCCAGCCTTGCTCCTGGTGCAGGTAACTGTCCCCCGCTGCCACTTGAGTTATCTAGATGACCTGGGAGTTGCCTTCAAGAGCCCACTGACAGAATGGCATTTTCCTCGCTCCCTCTTGGCATTAAAGAGTAGCGATAATGAGAATTTACAAAAGGGAAGTGCTTGGTCCTCGACAAAAGAGTGATTTCTAATATCTCACTCTTGTCCCTACAGAATTCCACCACCGAAACCAATGTCAGCAACCCCTGTTACCCTCGGGGTTACATCACCACCTTCCCCATGGGCCACCTGTTTGACAGCCTGTGCACGGAGGATCTGAGGCCTGGAGGTTATGCCCCCGATGATATCATCACTTTCGAAGGAAGCGGGGACCCACTACTGTGTAGGGTGAAAGTGGCTTCCCTCTTCGCCTTCAAAGCTTGCCATGACCAAGAAGTCTGCTGCTTTGACGGGGTTTATCAGCCGAAGGTTAAAGGACCTTTTGTGGTGAGAGCAGAAACCACTGAAATTCCTTTTTTCCCCACTGAATGTTTACTTCTCGGCTTTCTCTCTCTGCCGCCCTGTCTCCCCCTCTCTCATTCCCCGTCCCGAGACCTCGGCCACCCGTCCCATCCTGAGCACCATGTCCGGTTCTGCCTCCTCCCAGGCCTTTGCGGGATTCTTCTACACAGCCAGTGCTCTAAACCTCTCGGGCAGCTTTTCCCTGAACGCTTTCAACTCGAGCACCTGGGACTTCTGCTCCCAGCACTGGAGTCAGGTGAGTGCTTAAAGAGGAGAGATCAGTAGCAGCGCCCGCAGCAGGGCAGAGTATGCTCCATGGTGTGCATGTGTGTGCAAGTTCTGAATTTCCCATTTATGCTGTTCTGCTTTTAACCCCAAAAATGGGGCTATAAGGGAGCCATACCTGCATCACAGACTAACGTTCTGGCCACAGGCACAGCAGTTAGAACTGTGTTTGGCCCATGATAAGCACCCTATAAACCTAGAGGTGGTTCTTACGGGATGGTGTATAGGAATATTTTCAATATCACGTAATCGCATTCTTTTATAGTAAGTGTTCCGTGAACTGGGTGCAGTGATCCTCTCAGATAGGAGTGTTGACCTAGGGTGTTCCGAAACGTGCACTGTAAAGCATGCCCACCTCCCCTTCCCGTTCCGCCTCCAGCTCCCACGGCTGCTGCCCCGGTTTGACGAGCTGTACGCCCGCTCCTACTGCTTCTCGGCCCACTACATCTACCACCTGCTCGTACACGGGTACAGGTTCTCCGAGGACACCTGGCCCCAGATACATTTTAAAAAAGAGGTAAGTCAGAGCACACATCCTCCTCTCCCTCCCAAAATAGAGGTTTGCGTGTATGTGTGTGAAAGATGAGACTTTGGTCCCCTGTGAGCCTCCAGAAGAGATGACGAAGAACTCCGAGGCGGCGTCCACTGCAGACCCTTCCCCACAAGGAAAGGATTGGAAGCCAAGGAGCCACAGGCTCTGACTTCTCGAGGGCAGGACTGATGATCCCATCCTCTTATTCCTAGCATTCAGCACAGGGGCGAGAACCTGGAAGATGCTTAGTAAATGTTTGTTGAGTGAATTAATAAATGTTAAGAATTTGAGACTTTTCATCCTAAAAAGAAGCTCCAAATATAACAGGGTTGGTTTTTTTTAAAAAAAGAGGGTAGAAACTAATTGCTCTCCATTTATACAGATGTCAGAGTAAGATACAGGCTTTAGAGCCTGAAGGATTGAATAGAATTTTCTCTTGGAATGAGCCTGAGGCACTGTGTTTACTGTCAAGAGTCCAGAATGGGCCACAGCTGGGCAGATGCAGCCTCTCTGGTATGTCCATCCAGCACTATGTTCCCTGGGTCTGGGAGGGTTTTCTGGTTTCAGGAGTAGCTGGTGTAAAGCCTGAAGTATATCTGGAGTCAGTGTGTTCTGTATTAGCTTTGGCAATAATTAGATTAAACCAGTCAACATCTGACATTAGGCCTGTGACGTCTGCCTTTACATAAGTGAAACTGAATCATCCACAAGCAATACGGATGTCTGGAAACATCTACAGACTGATGGGGGCTTGTCCCGTCCCGGCTTTGCCTCATGATCTAATTACAAGGACAGTACATTATGGGAGTGGAGAACAGGACTTCCCCTTGAGTACCGGTATGGATGCACACAGAATTCCAGGTTTCACATTCCTTTCCTTTATTTATGAAGAATTTTATATCTGGCCAAATTCGTATCTGAATGTGAGGGCCTAAAAAGACTTCAGAAGATTTGCCACATAAAGACTGAACATCAAATCTATATTTGGAGGAAGTAATCAAATAAGACTAGAAATAAATCCAGGAGATGTTCTAAAAACATGTGAAATAAGAATAAATGATGTTGTGGCTTAAAATGTATATTAAAAGTGACACTGTATAAAAAAGTAAAAGAGAAGAATTCATCCATATACCAGAACAACCTGGAATTGAAGTGTCACTAATATTCAATGTGAAGGGGATGGGGTAGAGGGTTGTAAGATACAGGGACATAAGAGGGGCCTAAAATGCTCATCTTTTCAAGGGAACACACACTCACAATGTTTAAAGCGAGAAAGGAAAAAATAAATATAGGAAAATAGCCACTAATTGAAAATTTAAATATTAGAAGTCCAAATATATCAATAACCACAATAATCATAAATGGACTAAACCTGGCAGTTAAAAGACAGACATTGTCAGACCTGATTTTTAAAAATCAAGTATATGTAGTTTATAAGAGAGACACTTTAAAGAAACACTTAGGCTTCACACGTAAGGACATGGAAAAATAGAAAGTTAAAAAAATTTTTTTAACTGTCAGAGAAACATCACCCAAAGGAAAACTGGTGTAGCTATTTAATATCTGAAAAAATAGTCTTTAAGATAAAGGGCATCATTCCATATAGAGAGAATTACAACATAACGATAAAAAGTTCAATTAATTCATCATGAAGATGGCAAATTTGAAATATTTAGCCATCCGATACAACAACCTAAAAATGCGTAAGCAAAAACTGACTGAATTACCAGAAGAAACAGACAAAGCCCATTTCTTAGAAGCTGGCCCTTGGTTTAGCGAACACTCATTACCTCTTCCTTTAGCTGCAGACACTCTGTACAGCCGGCAACAGAAATGTTTCCGTTATTAACGGCGCCCTCTTCACACTTGGCCGTGACGAGGCTGTGCGGATTAGTTCTGATTTTTCTCTGCAGTGCTGGAGGTAGGGCCCTCCAGCCTTTGGGGTCCTCCCAGTGACCTGAATTCTAGCCCAGTCTCTGCAGTGTCTGAACTTGGGCAAGTCCTTTGACCTCCTGTCCTGTGGGTGTTTCGTGCTGGGGACAGTGGTGTGCCCTGGGTGTGTAATTCCCACCTCGACCTCTGCCCTGAGAACTGAGCATCTCCTCTACTTCACAGGTGGGAAATAGCAGCATAGCCTGGTCTCTCGGCTACATGCTCACCCTGACCAACCAGATCCCAGCTGAAATCCCCCTGATCCGCCTGCCCATGAAGCCTCCTACCTTTATGAGCATCCTCGCCTTCTTCACGGGAGTGGCCCTGCTGTGCCTCGCCTTGCTGGTGTACCTGTATGCGACATCCAGGAATCAGAGGCGCTCCCGGCATGCCTTTGACCACACAGTGGATTCCGAGTGAGCCTTGCGAAGCAGCCGCTGGAGCCCAAGGGTTGCCCAGGTCCAGCTGGGTGGCAACGGCCAATGCCAGTGAAATGCCCATCTGCTGGAAACACAACTACAGTCAAATACTTAGGTCGTGTGCCTCTCAGATACTGATGTTTGCCAAAGCACCTTAACTGTTCTGTGCACACTGGGCCTCCAGAGACCCCACTACCCACTGTTCCTCCTGGGGAACAGAGGAGAGACAGGCCATCAAGGCCAGGCTCTTATTCCAGTGCCCCAGAGGAAGAGGAAGCTGAGAATGGGACAGTTCAGTGTTGGAGAATTGACCTCAGGGCTCATGTTGCATTCTGTCCCCTCAGAGGCCACCTTCCTCCTGGCAGGTTTGGAAGCTGGCAGACGCCCACTAAGCCTTTGGTCCAGTCAGATATCTCGTCGTATGGCTCCTGCCCCTTGGTCCTTCACTGGGACTTTCCTTTAGCAATCCCATAAACATTGAGCTCCCCCAGATTGCTAGAATATAGTATGTGGGGGAGAAGACTCCTTGACGCCCAAGGACAGTGACCACAGCCAGCTTCTGTCGTGCAGGCAGACCTGAAAGGCAGAGGTGCACTGGAAACCTGCTGGCCATTCCCCAAGCGGGATTCTGGTCATTAGATGGCAGCTGGCATGTGTGCTGTTATCTCCCCCTCCCCTTCACATCGTGCTTGTCGTCCTGTGAAACATTTACTCCTAGAGAGGGTATTGTGTTCCAGAGCTTTTTGCCTTTGCTAGGCTTTTGTTTCGGGCTATCTTTCCAGTGGTAGTATGGCGCATATATTTTGTACACCGTTCCCACAGGTATACTCGATGCTGTCACAAAACATCCTGTTCTATGATTTGCTTACCACTTACTTTCCTAGATGGTAGACCTCGCTGCACAGTAGCCATAGTTCTTGACTTCAGGGAAAGAAAAGGAAGCTGCAGGGACATCTAACTCCAGAGTGGGGTAGGAAAGAACTCCAGCATGTCCAATGGCTACAAACTAAAAATCAACATGATTGCAGATTGTTGTTTGCTAGCTCAACGTGGAATAAAGGACTCTTATTGTGACTTGCAGTGTGTGTGTTTGTTACCCTGCACATGGTACATGTTCTCCTAAGGTCCCAAGGTAGTACTGATGAGAAGGGGTATTGTCTAATCCATATCTAATAACCTGGAAATTCCAGTCCAAGATATATACCTTAGAGAATATGTGTTCTAAGGTATATATCCGTGTATACACCAGGATACACATCTAAGAATATTCTTACTGGCAGCCAACATGCCCATCACATAAAATGAAAGAATAAAAAGTGATATATCTGTGCTAGAAAATGCCATACAGCATGAAAACAAATATACGTTCAATATGGATAGATCTTACATAGTATAATTCGATTTATATAAAGATCAAAAACAGGCAAAACTAAACACAGACGATAAACTCTAAAGAAAAGCAATAAAATGATTACTCTTAAATTTGGGGGGAAATAGAGATCGTGTTTGGAAAGGAACAAATAGATGTCTCTAGTCTGCTAGGGCTGCCGTAACAAAATACGAGACGGGATGGCTATAACAATAGAAATCTAATTTCTTACAGTTCTGGAAGCTGGGAAGTCCAAGATCAAGGTGCCAGATGGTTAAGTTCCTAGTGAGAGCTCTCTTTCTGGCTTGTAGACAGCTGCCTTCTCGCTGAGTCCTCACATGGCCTTGTCTCCGTGCTTGTGCAGAAAGAGAGGGTGAGCTCTCTGGTGTCTCTCTTTATAAGGGTACTAATCCCTTCATGGTAGTGGGCACCACCTCATGACCTCATGATCTCATCTAACCCCAATCACCTCCTGAAAGCCCCATATCCAAATACCATCATCAGGGGCTTAGGGCTTCTACATATGACTATTGGGGGCATGCAGACATTCAGTCCATAGTAACAGGACTTCTGGGGTGACTGTGATTGATATTCTATAACTAGGTAGTAGTTACAGGTATTCCCATTTTTCAAATATGTATGCACTTTTAAAAATATATATATCTTTACTGATTTCAGAAAGAGAGGAAGGGAGAGGGAGAGAGAGAAACATCAATGATGAGAGAGTTGTTATTGATCGGCTGCCTCCCACACGCTCCCTGCTGGGGATCCAGCCCGCAACCTGGGCATGTGCCCTGACTGGGAATTGAACCCCGATCTAGAGCCTAGGTTGACGCTCCACCGCTGAGCCACACCCGGCCGGGCTGTATGCACTTTCTGTATGACCTTTTTGACATTTAAAAGATAAAATTATAGATCTGGGCTAACTCAAGAATTTTCTACTTGCTACCGCTATGATCTTCATAAAGTTTTTCAACCTCTTTGAGCCTTGATTTCCTCATGCATAAAATGGGGCTAGTATCTACCATGGGAGAGTCAAGAAAAGAGAAATATAGCCCTTAGCCAGTGTCTGGCACAGATAGCCAATGAATAAAAGTTTAAAAAGTATTTCTTTCATCCACTTACTTATTCATTCATTTACTCATCGTATGTTCGCCAAAAGTCTACTATTTGCTAAATGAGTACTGAGTTGAGTTCAGACTGAGGTTGGAAGAGAAATGAGACAAATTGCTTTCCCCTTGAAACATGTGAGACATGAAGGCCCTCTGCTGGAGCTATGAAGAAAATCTTTCCCAGGATGGGCCCTTTTGTTTTTCCCTAAAGATGCAGGGGGAATGGGGATAATTAGTTCAAAAATATTTTTAATAATATAAAATAATGAGACATCGAAAATTGGGACATTTGATGATATCAAGGATGGCTGTTAATTTCTGTTCAAGTGAAATAATGGTCTTGTGAATATTTTTGCCCAAGAATCCTTACCATTTAGATACTTGTTAAACTATTTCCAGATGAAATATCTGTTGTAGCAGTCAGGGTTTATCCAGAGAAATAGAGCCAGTTAAAGATACATGCTAAGATATTTTTTTTGCAAGACACTCCTTATGTGATTGTAGGGGCTGGACAGGCAAGCCTGAAATCCACAGGGCAGGCTGGAACTTTGGGCTTGAGCAACAGCTACTAACCACAGGTGGAATTTGTTCTTTCTCTGGGAAGCCTTGGTTGGCTTTGCTCTTAAGGTCTTTCAGCTGATTTAGTCAGGCTCACTAAGGTTACCTAGGATAATTTCCCTTTTTTAAAAACTGATTATGGGCTTTAATCACACCTACAAAATACCTTCACAGCAACACCCAGGTCACTGAGTAACTAAGACTGTAGCTTAGCCAGGTTGACACATCACATCTTTAGATTGATTCAAAATAAAATGGAAAGAAGGATGTCAATGAGACGGGACTTGCCCTTCCTCTGGGTGATTGGATGAGCCGGTTGCATGTCACGGAAAGGGCGTAGCTGGCCTACAAAGCTCTGCGTGTGCTTGGTCTGGTGGTTTGGTTTCTGACATGAGTAGCTGCTAATGATTATCTTGCTCATTTCTGGACACCCGGGACCTCACAAGTTGGACAAGGCTTATTTAGAGAGTTACCTTGCAATTATCAGAGAGCTTCAAAGAAATCTGAAAACAGCCTGGGGCTGCTTGAGAAGGGGTCTCAAATTGCTTCTTCAAGGCCTGCTGTCTTCTCCACGGAGAGTGAGTAGCCCATTCTAGGAAGAGGGAGCCCGACTGCATGAAAAGCTGGGAGACCTGTCGCTATAGTGGGATAGGGGTGAGATTGCTTGAATCCCAGGCTAGGGAGTTTGGACTTTATTCTGTAGAAGGTGAACATTTGGAGGACTTTAAATAGGGTTGACTTGATTAGGTGATGAGCTTTAGAAAAATAATTCTGTAACTAGAGAATCCATAGTGTTTGCCAAAGTGTGTTCAGTGAACCACTGGAGAGCTTGTTTTTAATTGCCAATTCTTGCCCCTCTTTAGACCTGCAAATCTGATTCTCCGGTGGTAGTGCCAGGAAATTCCATTTTTAAAGTTTTTTTTAATTTTTTTTAAGCTAACATATATTTGAAGAAATGCACCAATCATAAAGGTAGAGCTTTGAATTTTCACAAGCTGAACACACTCAGGTAACCAACACTCAGATGAAACAGAACACCAACAGCTCAGAAGTCTCTCTTCACCTCCAGCTGCTGCTGCGTACACCAAGGATAAACACATTCATTACTTCTAACACCCACAGATTAGTTTGCCTGGTTTGAACTTTATATAAATGAAATCACACAGCATATATTCTGTGTGTCTGACTTACTTCACTGTTATGTGCGAATGCATCCATGTTCTGTGTAGATGCTGTTGACTCCATTATTAAGACTTCCACAATTTATCCAGTCTCTTTTATGGGTAGTTTCCAGTTTGGGGCTCTTACCACAAACATACTGCTAGGAATGTTCTTATTCATGTCTTTTGCTTTGTAAATTATAAAGCAGGATACCAAGGCTAAAGACTAATTCATTCACTACCCACTTACTGAGCCCCTTAGGAGGCATTGTGCTAAGAAAAGACGGCCAAGGTCCTGCCCTCATAGAACTTATTTTAGCTGGTGCAAAACTACAACCTAAGTGGACAGAAAAATGAGTCAAACAATTGTGATAATAGCTCTGAGGAGAAAAAAAAGCTGACCTAGCAAAGGGACAGGGGACTGACCTACTTTTTTTATGTGGCAATCATGCAATGAGCACGAACAGAGGGAAAAGCATTCTTGGCAGGGGAGATACCATGTACAGGTCATGGAGCAGGAGAGAGCTTGTCCTATTCAAAAAGGCCAGTGTGGCCGAAGCACAATGAAGGGTAACAAGAGATGGCATAAGGTGTGTTTGGATACAGGAGCATATGATGCAGAGCCTTACAGGCCAGAGTAAGCAGTTTCCATTTTATTCTAAATAACTGTAGAAAGCCATTGAAATGTTATAAACAGAAAGATGTGATTTGGTTTATTGACTGATTTTAAAAATTTTTTCGATTTTTAGAGAAAGAGAGGGAGAGAGAGGGAGAGAGAAACATCGATGTGAGAGTGGAACAAAATTCGGCTGCCTCTTGAATGCCCCTACCGGGAGGGAGTCAAACGGCAACCTGTTAGGGCACCAGCGGGCCCTCAACCGAGCCCCACTGGCAGGGCATGACTTACATATTTTAAAAAACATCCCTCTGACTGATGAGCAGAGAATAGATTAAATGGGTCAATGGAAAAGCAGGTCACTTAGGAGGCTGCTCAGAACAGTCCCAGGGATATTTGCTGGCATAGAGCGTAGAGGAAAAGACTGAAATAGGTTTCAGAACTGTCAGCAAAATAATTACCATGTAAATTGGGTCCTGAAAGGTAACACGGCTGTCCTGGGACCAGGAGAGGTCCTGCTCGAGTTCCGACAGGATGCATCAAGGGCACGGCATTCCTGCCGAAAATGCAAAATCTGAATGTAATCGTGAGGGAGACGACAATCAATCCACATTGAGAGACATTCTACAGAACAACCGGCCTGTATTTTAAAACGTCAAAATGTCAGTATTATGAAAGACAAAAGCTTAGGAACTGTTATGGATTAAAAAAACAAAACGAAACAAAACAAAAACCTAGACACGCTCACTAAATGCAATTTGTAATCCTCCATTAGATCGTGGGTCAGGAAAAATTCCTTTTTCCTTTATTCTAAAAACTGTAAATGGCACCATTGATAACATTTAAGTAAGGACCGCAAGTTAAATAAGGCTATGAGGATTTCCAGGTTTTTGGTCATTGTGCTGATTATGTAAGATAATGTCCTTGCTTTTAGGAAATAACACAGTTAATAGTGTAGCGATGAAGAAACATCGTGTCTGCGATTTCCTCTCAAATGGTTCAGAAAACGCAAACGTAAAATGTTAACATTTGGAGAATCTAAAAGAAGCATTCATGGGAATTATCTGCATTAGTTTTGCAGCTTTTCTGTAAATCGAAATTACTTTAAAATAAAACGTTAACGAAATTACTGGGAGTGGAAAAAAAATCTAGTACTAAGCTATCAGTAACAACGTTTAGACAAAAACCGGGAGGGGGCGAGTCGCGGAGGGAAAGATGGAAGCATGTTTAAAAAGTGAAATGGACTGTGGACGGTTACACCGGAGTCACAGCTTCTGTGCGCTTCTTCACTCTAAAGGACCAAGAGCTGACCTGCCCTTCCCGCAACTCGCGGCGGGTCCCCGGACAGCGAACCGCGCCGCTCCCGTTAGGGAAACAGCAGCCACTCTCAAGCCGGCTCCGCCATGTTTTCCCAGGGAGCGTGCGCGGAAACGCACGCACGCACGCCCCAATCCTAGCCAATCGCTGTGCACGTCGGCGCCCCGTTTAGCGTAGGGGCGGGGCGGCCTTCTACACAGGCGCACGGCTGCGCAGGCCTCTTCCTTCTCGCCGAGCGCCGCCAACATGGTGAGTATGGCTGCTGGGGGCTCCGGCTCTGGCGGCCACGCAGCTCCACCGCCGCCTGGGCCGGGGCGCGGAGCAGCGTCCGACGCGCCTTACGTAGCGCATGGTGAGGGTCCCCCGGCGGGTGGGGCGCGGAGTTTGGGGCTTTTCGGGACCCGCGGTCGATGAGCGCGTGGA